GGAAAGTTAAGGATTTATTTTCACAAACTCTTATCTTAAAGTTTCAGAACCAAACCAAACTGAAACCATTAATGAAACCAAAGATTTTGTCACCATATTTACTTATTTTAAAAAATTAAGTGTCGTGAACAGTACGAAATTTCTAAACTAAGAATTGACTAAAATACGTCTTATTTCACTATCTATTTTACCAATTTTAAACTTTTTAAGGACTCTACCATTCCTGATGTGTCATGTCCATATGCATTAATAAAAAAATGGTAATCATTCCTCTATTTTAGGTCTCCTTCTCCGAAAGTTGAAAAGGAGATGGCCACCGAATTAGTAACGTCATTCTACCATTATATGCATTTACTTTTTACTCAGGAAGCAAAAAGTGGACAGTATATCCGCCCTAACCTTTTGACGCGCAATCTTTATTATACATATTTTTTCATTCTTTTTCATTATTTTGTGATAATTTAGATCAAAATAAGGGGGAAATATGATGTTTAGCATTATGTTTCTGAAATCGGTGTTTTTTTGTCAACGTTAAATCGAAAATCTTCCAAGCACGGCTTACTTCCAAACAATAATTTTTACAATTTGTAATTATTTGCAGTTATTTAGATCTATTGGAAACAATTATTAATCATTTTTCAAATTTCCTTGATTTGCAAAATCAATTATTGCTAATTATTTTAAATATTATGAAATGGTAAAAAATTTTTCAAGCTGCTTTTTTTTATTTAATACTTCTTAGTACACATATAATTCCAATAAACTGACAGATTATTTTAGTAACAATTAGACTGTTTTTATAGTTAAAAAATGCTAAAATATATTTTCGAGTTTAATTAGGGTGTGCAGTAAGCTTTATTTATTGCGCATAAGTTGCAAGTATATAGTTGCAAGTATATAACTCAGAAAATAAGTTCAAAATATGGAGAAAACACGGAAATTAATAAATATTTTAAGGAAAAGAGAGAAAGAAAAATTATTTAATTTTAAATTTTGTTATTAACTTTGATAATTATCTATACATTAGCTTTGGCTATATTGCGGATATAATCGTGGGAACTTATGAAGAGATTATGTCTTTTCATTTTTCTGTTCTCCGGCTTTTAAATATATTTTTTTTTTAAATATTTTTAAAAATATTTTATTTTGATAATTTTTCTTTTCTTTTTTCAATTAATCTTTATTATTTTCCCACATTTTCTCCATATTTTTAACTTATATGTATATATTTTTCTACGTGTTGAAAAACCACAAAATACTGGACTCTCAAAAGAATTTTTGACCCCTAAATTGAATACGAGTTAAAAATTTACATGGTTTTGCTGTCCCGAAAAGCAACTTTTTGACCAAATTGAAAAACAAGTTATATAACTAACTGTGAAACTGCATCTGCTGAAATATACTAACAAATATCGGAGTTATTTAAACTGTTAAACTGGCCATCTCACCTGGACTTACCCTTAGGATAACACATATCATTTAAATATAACCGCAAGAAATTTACTTTATCTCTAAGAAGCTAATAATTTATTTCAAAGTTGAAGCTGTATTCCTCCCTTGGTTTTCTGAAATATCTTATTTTTTATAAGAATATATATATATATATGTATATATATATATATATTTATATTGTTTCTTAACTAACGTGCACTAGAAAGCACTAATACGTTTTGAATGTCTTTTCAAATAGTTTATCATTATTTGAATTAAAATAAGTAAAAATGAAATTTTCAACAAAATAAATGTATTCTAAAGGCTTTTGGTATACAGTTTCCGCCATTTTATTGTTGTGGAAAGCTAAATTTATACGGTGCATCTAGTCACATTTCTAATTTACATTTACCTGTTATAGTTTTTTTTATTTATTTGTTCATTTTTTGTTTGTTTGTTTACTGGTAACACATATTTTCATGTGCATTAGAATCAATTCATAACTTCATTGCAAAAACATATTGTTTATTAAAATAAGCACATTTTTAGTAATGAAGTCGGTAGCAGAATTCTCAGAGCCAATCTGTAGAACTATTTTCATAAATTCAAATTTGTCTGTAGCTCTAACACATTCAAACCGAAGCTATTATTGTAAAAATTAGGCTTAACCTAACATGTGTATCGCAAAGCTAAACATATAGAGTAGATCAAAATTATACTAAAAAAATAAAAATTTGTTATTTAATTAAAAAATTCTACACTATTTCAAATCAATGGGAAAATTGGAATAAGTCCGTTTTCAGTCTATAAATGCAAGGAATTAAAGTTTTCGGAAATTAGAAATTTCTGATAAAATTTTTCTTGTCATTTAAACTATTTATTTTTCGAAATTCCATTTCATTAAAGTGGAAATTTCGAAAGGCATCATTTTTCGCTTGTTTCTTTATCTGCAGATTTTCCATAAATTTTGTTAAGTACTTAAAACAAATAGTAGTAATTAAAGATTTTTTCTGTAGGTTTGTTTTTTAAATATAAAAGAGAAAAAAATTCTTCAGATACTCTGACAATTTGTTTTAGTTCTGAGTTGAAAAATAATCGGCAGGTGCTTTGATAACCTTGAGCATCCTCAGCCGTGATGGAGAATTTTTGCTATCGGGGAAATATAATTAAACTAATTCATTTAAACAAGCATTATTTCGTCAATGTTAAATAATTTTTAGCAAGATAACTGCATTTCTTCGTTTATCTCAAAACCTAAAATGTAGGAAATGTATTTCGTTTATTTCTACACCGAAAATGATAGTAACTATACACAAAAATTTTTACAATGTAGTGCGTTAGAAAAATATATTAATTTAATGATTTAAAATGTGACACTAAAAATAAAGTCTATGTATATATACACACCGAAGAGCCATTACATTATGATCACCCTCATCTATAACAATGGGCTCGCCCATGTTTTCATGGTTTCTCACCCAGGAACAATGTTTTCAACGGGCACATTAGGACCCATAATCCTCAAAGAACAATCCCTGACGTCTGTAAGCTGCTTGAACATAGTTGCAGACCAGGTTCACCCATTCATGGCAACAGTTTTTCCTGCGGGGGGTGGTGTTTACCAACAGGATAATGCACCATGTCATAAGGGTCGAATCGTCGAGGAACATTCCACAGACTTTCAAGTCATGTCTTGGCCCCCAAATTCACCTGACCTTCATCCAATAGAGCATTTGTGGAGCACATGGAAAACCAAATTCGGGCTGCCACGCCACTCCCTCGCAATGAGAGGGAATTGCAGGACCAGTTGGTGAGCGCCTGGTACCATATACCTCAGACTCCCTATCAGCACCTTGTGGAATCAATGCCACAGCGGGTGCAGTTTTGAGGGCGAAAGGTGGTCCTACATGTTATTAGCAGGGTGGTCATAATGTAATGGCTCTTCGGTGTATATATTGTATATATTGTAAATACATTTCATCAGTAAGAATTCAAATTTAGTTAAATAATTCATATTAGATTTTTTTTATGTTCACATAAAAACAAAAACACGAAAAATTTTACCATATTCTGGTAGTTTTGGTCGTACTTTTTCTCTCAGTGCATACTTTCTTACTACTCTTTTAAAAAATAAATCGATGACAAAGGGAAAGGACTCAAAATAAATAAGATTTTCTTTTCTTTCACTTATTCATTAATTTTGATATAAAATATAAACTTCTTTGTTGCTATAATTTTTTAATGTTATAGGATCTTATTGCAAAATTTAAATAGAAATATACAATCTATTTTTTAACTTGTTTAATACAAATTGGCTAATGGAATTTGTCAATTAAAATGTACAACATTCCAAATCGTAACATATAACTCTAAGAAAATACGATATTTTTCAGGTGCCCTTATATTATTGGCATAAAAATGCATAAAAGAAACAGCGTGAGCAAACAAAAGAAGGTTTTTTCGAGACTATAAATGTCACACATTTCCCCCATGCAGAAATAATTCAGGTCAAATTACCGTACTGTATGGTAATTACATTTTTGGTAAAAAAAAAATTAAAAAAACATAATTCTGGTGATTAAACCAAAATGTACGGTATTTAAACCATTTATTTATTAACTTTTTTTAACAGCTTAAAGTAAATTCTTGTTTTGAAAATTATAATTCTATGAGTTGAGTAAAAAATAGCAATTGAGTTGAGTAGATAATACTATGAATAGAGTAAAAAATACTAAAGTGAAAAATAAATTTAGCCAAATAAGGGCTTTTATACCATGCTCTAAAGTATCATGATAAAATACCACATATTATAAAACAATATTTTATTACTAATTTTACCAAAGTGCTTCAGTGATTTTTGGTGTTCAAAGAAACACGATACATTATAACATATTCTGGTAATTTTAACCATACATTTTTTTCAACAGCGCAACATGGATGTGCGAAATTTTCAAAAGTAAAACTGGTATAAAATAAATGTTTGTAATTTTAAAACCACATCCTCTGATATAGTCAAATTCAAAACTTTAGGCTTAATTAGTAGACTTAACTTACCATTAACTAAAACAATTTGTATTTTCTGTTTTTTGTAACATTTCAATACAGTTTTTGGAGGAAAATACGCGGTATCTTTAAAGGAAAAAAGATTACTTATTTTTAGATTTCTTGTCGTGCAACTCGAGATAGCTTCTATAATTGCGAATAAAGTAAAACGGATTGTTTAATGTATAGAGTTCAAGTCTCTTACGTCTATTTATTATTACGTCCATATTTTAACACCCACGTCTAATTGTAAGATACTGCGGTTTTTGAAAAAGAACGGAGAAAAAAACTAATAAAATATATTCTATAGGTATTACTATCAATAATTTGATTTTTTTGATTGACTATAAGGTAAAACTTTTCATATAAGCTTTTATGTGACCAATTACCTTTCTCTTAGAAAATATAGTGTCCCGTTATTTTGCACATTTTGGGTCAGTAGAGCGACTTATGGGGCCTAACAGGGATCTCGGAGGAAAACATTAGCTGCTCCACATATGCAGTACTTTAAATGGAGGTTACTTTTCTAAGATCAGTAACTTTCACTTCTGCTCTACAGTACAGCACTTTTACTTACGAAGTGTTTTAATAAATATTTTCTTTTGACTTATTAGAAAATATAAACCAATAACCATGTTATTGTCTATATTATGTAATTTACTACTACGTATCTGCTAAAAAAATATGTTAATTAGTAATTTATAGTGTTATGTTAATTTGTAATAGTAAATCATCATAAAAGTTATAAAAAACCCAAGGACTTAATCTGTTTTGATAGAAAGTACCAAAGGTAAGTTTTTTTTATATTAGCTAATTCCTTACGATTAGTGAAATAGAATATTTAATATTTGTTACAGAATATTTTTTTCGGATCATGAAACGGATACTTATCCGTTTCATAAATTTAAAATAATAAATGATGTAGAAATAGTATGCAGTATTTTTTTAATTGTTGCCACAAATTTAAACGATTAGCAACAAAATATTTCTGAATAGTTTTTGATTTCTGACTTAAGAGATCTTAAAATTTTGTTTTGAAACTGATGTTCATTTTTAAATAACTAGATTTACTTTAAGTATTTATGCCCCCTAAAACTTCCAATTAAACCAATTTCAATGATTCCATTAATATGTTTAGCACTTAAAAAGTATTTTAATACAATTCTACAAAGTTGTAGCAAATCGTACTCAAAGTCTTAGTTCTTCATTATTTATTTATTTATTTATTTTACTTTTATTTTTTGGGTAAATTAAAGGTTAGTTTATGATAATTTAATTGAATAAAAACTTGAACTATAATTGAACTATAATAATTGTTGTTACTTTTTGCAATAATGAATTTTTGTTCATTTGATAGAATTTTAGATAATTCATAATACTTCAATAGAAGTCAGTTTAATGATCAGTAATATACTCAAATTATTGATGCTATTATTATTATTATTAAAAAACAATTTATTTTACTGCTTAAATCAAATGTCTTTTGTAAAGAAAACATTTATTATCCATCAAGTAGCTTCAATATGAATGAAATTTTTTTTTATTTCTTCTGAATGACCTGCTGATTAAGAATAGTTTTAAACAAAGACATCATTAAAATTTCAATAAGACAATTGCAAGAGAAACATGTTTGTCTGATAGTTAAGTAGGTCTGATAAGAAAATTGTGTAACGAATATATTTAAGCATATAAAACACGCGTTGGCAATTAATTCAAGCTTTTTTTTAACGTGATTTGTAGTTCTAATTGATACTTAATAGTTCTATACCTCTTTGTTCTAAATGATATGTTATGACTTAACTAGATTGAATATAGTAATCCCTGATGACATTATTCCCTTTGCCGTTGGTGTGAGTGACAAGTATTCTAAATAATAATATGAATTACGATTTAGAAACTTATATACCTATAGCTCAATGGAATAACAGCAGATATAAACATTTTAAAGTGCTTGTACTATAATTTAATGTAGAATAGAACAATAACGAAATTATATTAAGAAAAAGAAAGTGTTTAAAAATTACATATAATGTGACCAAAAAAGCTAAAATTTCTGACAGATTTTGTTTTTAAAATAACAAAATAATGCATTTCTGATACTTTTTATAAGATTCCATGAAATTGAAAATAATTCATAGTTTTAAGGCTAGATTATTCAAGTAATCATCTCCTGGTCTGAACCTGGGGATGAAAAAGCCAGTTTATTGAAGAAAAAAATTGCTGCACTGTTACAGTTTTCATTATAAAATTACGGTAACATAACTGACAGCAGTCTGTCCATCCAATTAACCCTAAAGTTTGCGGTAAAGATCACTTCTCACCTTAACGGGTTTGAAACCGTTTGCAAATAGTATGATTTCAAAACCGTAAAAAAGAAATTTAACTGAAAATCGGAACTAGACTTTTCGGCATTGTAGTTAGGTTGTGGTTGAGTAGTGTTTTATCATATATACCGTGGAATGGGGAATGTGGTTTAATTAGTTTATCTGGTTGGTTCACCTATAGTAAGAAATGAGAAATACTAGAATTTTTCGTTTTAAGCAAATTTATGCTGTTGTAATCTATGCGTGTATTGCATTCTAATAGTCCAGGGTCATAAACAAATGAGAGCAGATCACTAGAAACTGTTCTTGTGTTGAAGGAGATGGAGAATTTATTGTGCTGTCAACTCTAGGACACGAACATCGGATCTGCCAGCCGTGAGATTCACATATTAGCCCTCTCGTCTATAACATGTACCCATCTGCAAAAAACTATAAGTGGTTTCATTAGATGGATCTAGTTGGGGCGATACAATTCTGGCTGTTTAACCGTATTAGATAAAAGCAGTTAATAAGTGGTTTTTTCCTCACAGTTAACAGTTTGAATACCCTCTAATTTATGGTTATTTGACTTTTTTGTTTGACTATGGAATAATGACAATTAAATATATTTGTTTTATCCCTTTATTCATAGAAATTTCTAAAGGTGTGGCGTTTATTATCCCTTGCAGAAAAAGAACAATGAATTTAAAAATGTAGAAAAAAATCAAAATGAAAAATACTATCAATAAGTAGCCATTAAAGGACAATTTAATAATATGTTTAAAAGTGTTTATGGGGAGTAAAACTAAAAATTGTAAGTTTGGAGATTAAAGTTTTAAAACGTAGAAATTTATGATGAAAATATCTTAGAATATCTTATAAGGAAAGGCTGATTAACCTGCCTTTAAAAGACAAACACTATTAATATATCTTATCAAAAACATTACTAAAACAATGCACTTATACATAAAAAATAGCAATAAAATTCAAAACAGTGTTGCTAGAACTAATGCCTGAACTTTTATTTTTAATTATAAAGAGCGTCCAACTCAGTTTTGAGCATACGACTTTCAATTGTAGTTTTGAATTCGTCTTGTAATTTTGAACCCAACTCTGAAGACAAGGGAAATCTTGCTTCAGATGCTGGTAGAAACTAGCCTTCGTGGAGAACTTTTTACATAGAGACACATTTGCTTTAAATGGAGAGGAAGGGCACAAAAACCTCGCATGGTTAACCCAATTGCAAGGGGAATCTATCCCATGATATGCTTTCCACGGAAGATATTTTTACGTCAGCACACGAAAAAAGTTCCAAACAAATAACCTTACTTCTACAAAATACGTTGACGTTATTTTTAAAAAATAAATATTTTCTCGTTAAACATAAAAAATACCACCAATTGTTTTTACAAAAAATTTTTATTGACTCACAGATAAAATAGTACCTAAGATATCTTTCAAATAACATAAACAAAATATTTTAAAATAATTAAATTTAATTCTGAAATAATTAAATTTTATTTATTATTAAAGTCACTTTGAATTTGACTGAAACGAACAAAAAAAATTATTTAATAATTTTTAGTCGCAATTCTGAATTTTTTTACTTTAAATTTACAAATCTGCGTATTGATCAACGATTATAAGAGTTTAACCATAAACTAAGTAATATGCCTAGAAAAGCAGTTCTTTCTAAAAGGTATGAAGTAAAAAATTCAACTCTCCATAAGCAAAAAATTTATTTCCATATAATTTAATATATAACTTTACCATATAACTTTTAAAAAAAAAAAACTCGTTACTAGTTTTAAAATACATTTATTAAGGAATTTTAAACTGTAATGTTAATAGAAAAGTTTAAAATAATGCTTATTTATACGAAATATTTGTTGAAAAAAGTCAATTAGTTATTTAAGCGAACTAATTTATTACATTGAATATCGAATTGTTTGTCTAAATAGTTGGGAAAATATAAATTACGTAGTTAGTTCTTTTTCTTTCTGGTCTAATAGAGTAAAATGATACTACTTTTGACTATAGATTTTGCATCAAATAAAATAAAGAAAAAAACTGCTCTTCACGCGATTAAAGTCTTAAAAACTGTTCTCTCTTATAAGAAGACCAACACAAATTTTCAAAGAAACTAATAAATAACAAGTATAAGTCGATTTTCAAATGGGCCTAGTTATTCTCGTAACATTATTTATCCAATTGGCAGAAATATATAATGCAAATATACTCATTTGTTTTAAGCAAATTAAAATTATTGTTTAATTTTTAGGAAAGAGTTATGCATTTTCTACAACTCACGTTAGTAGCAAGTAAAGGGTCTGGTACAAAATTAAAGTAAGTCTATTTTGTTTGTCATTTAATTATTTTTGTTAATTCCTCTTTCCGCGTGGACAATACAGCTGCTACAATTCATGCATAAACCGGGCACAAATATAATAAAGTTTTTTTTTAATGTTTAATGATGGGGGGAATATTGTGTAAATCTCTTGTCTCCTTAAATTTCATTCCACTTTCATTAAAGATTTGTTAATTTTGATCTGTCTTATTATTTCATTGAACTTCTCAAGTCACGAAGAACCAATCAAAAAGCTACCCCTTGACGCAATTCATTAAGAAAATATTAATTACTTTCAAGTCTTGAATTTAAAATTAACAAATATACATAAACCTTTATTTCCTGAATACCACAAATATATCATAATGTGAATTTTTTTAGTGCTTGAAAGTTAGGCTGGTAAAAAGATGCACAGTAAACAAACAAAATGGCTGAGCTTTAATTCGATATTTGTTTTATTTATTTATTCATTTATTTATTTATTCTTTTATTTATTCATTCATTTACTTATTCATTCAGTCATTCAATCATTCATTCATTCATTCATTCATTCATTCATTCATTCATTCATTCATTCGTTCATTTATTGTGACTTCTTGAAATTTTAATTTTTGATGACAAACTTTCAAAGACTATAATTACAGCACTACAACTGTACAGCATTTTTTGTGTGCTTAAAAACTATTTTTTAGGCCTTCTTGCAGTTTTCAGAAGTTACAGTGACTGGTAAAAAGGAACAACTAAAACATATAAAGTAGTGAAACTTAAATGAGCTGAATTATTTATTTATTTATTTTTTGCTGCGTCTGGAGATTTGAATTTTCGGTAACTAACTTTCAACCAACTCTGTATTACAGCAATACAGCATTACATCAATACAAAGTAAAACAACATAAAACAGTAAGCTTCCTTTTAAAGATTCAATTTCCCTTTCATTTCACATAGATATTTTGTTATTTTATATCTAATCGGTTCACATAAAAAAAAAGTAATTAACATGATAATAAAAATGAGACAATTTCCCGCGCTTCAACCAGATTGATTGAAAATCATCTAGCCGTGAAGCAGACAAAACGAACTCGAATTATCCCAGCGTAACACTTGCTGAAAAAGTATAGAAAAAGCATGAAAGAGAAGAACGACACAGATTTATATAAGAGGGGGCGATTTGCCTGGGGGACTGACAACTATAACCTAGATTCTTAGCGAGTCATAGAGTGTCTTCAGAATTCCTAGTTTAGTCGGTCGAACCGTTGCTTGCTGCAGCCGGTTGCTGCAGAAGGAAATATTTTTTGTCAATAAACTTATCATCATCTGCTCTTGCATCTTTTTTTAAACATTCTTCTTAGAATATGGATAACGAAGGCAAGGCGACCGAATTTATAGGCTGAAAAGTATGGATACTTCTAAATGTGCAAGTAAGAGTGTTATAAGTATGCAATCAACAGCGTGCGATTGTTTTGTTTTGTTTTTTCTTTCTTATTTGCACAATGTTTTAATGTTTTGCGATTCCTTTTTGTAACATTTTTTATTGTCGATGAAACAAAATCTATGAGTTTTGTACAAATATATGAATTATTAGTACAATTGTTAATATTAATATTATTACTTATTATAAATTTTTATTCTTTATACTTTAGAATGAGTTAGTTATGAGTTACAGTTTTAAAAACGTCTACAAAATTAAAATTTGTTAAGCGTAAAGAATATTAATGATCGTAAACTTTATTAAAATTATCATTGTCTCACATAAAATAAATTAGAAATTGGTGTATAATTATTCTGTTGAAATGTTATATTTATAAAAAAAAGTAATTAAATATTTTAATAATTAAGGTTTTAAAGTTCTTGCAATGATATACAGAAACTTTTAGATAATTTTACCTTTATATGCTCATTTTTAAGATGATTGCAAAGTCATATTTTGAGGATTTTTTTAATATTTTAATTTATAGCAAATTCTTATGTTTTCCTATACACGAAACATTATTGTTTGAGTTCTCAGAAATACTTTCTCTCTTAAATCACTTGCTTGCGATTTAAATTAACATGGTTATAAGATTTTAATAAAAACGCCGAAGCTTTCATATTTTTTCTACAAAAAAGAATTAAAACGTTCCTATTTTCAAACTTTAAGGTGTATACAAATGAAGTAGAAAATTTCAAAATCTGGAATCTATTAAAATAATGTCCTTTGTATAGGTATGTGATTTTAATTTTCCTTTCATTTATTTCATTAAAAAATTAAAAAATGTTTATATTTGTAAAAATAACATAAAAGTGAATTTAATTTGTTAGCAAAAAAAGTTAATTTGGATAGTTTAAAATTAAAGTAATAATTTACAAAAAAAAATTATATTTTAAAGTAATAGTAGTTAAAAATAATAGTTTTAAACTAACGAAACAAAGACGTAATTCAAATATATCATATGTAACAATCGCAATCTAAAACACGTAATATTTACATTTTTTTACATTATCATATGCGTTTTTGAATGATTATTGTTATTTTTTTGATTTTATAAGCAACTCGATTTTTTTTATCATTACAATCACCTCAAATTTATTCCCCACAAACTCTAATAACAAAAGAATATTCTACTCTTAATGTACAGGGATCAACAAATGCATACAGTGATATCTGTCAAAATGACTCCTTGTCTATGTAGTATGTTGACTACTTAAATAAATCAAATTTGATTAAAGGCGGGATTGAATTCTATTCAATGCCCTTCATAAGTTTACAGAAAAATAAACTTTTTTCGATTTTTTTTATTTTTATTTTATTATGTTATGCAATAAAATTTTATTGAATTGTATTAAAAGCTAACCTAAACCTCGGTGTAAGCAGACTATATGAGAAACCTTTATTTCCTTACATGCTCTTGTATAACGATATATTAATAATTCATTCAAATAATTGCATGTATATCTAACAAAATATGCATATCTTTTTTTAAATTTAATCACTTTAATACTAAATTCTCAAAACGAATTGTTATGTAATTAATAATCTCATTTAATATATATAGGGTATATCTTGAATAAAATTTTAAATCTTTGCTAAAATAAGTTAATTACACTTATATTTATTTCGTTTGGTAATATTTAAAAAATATATAAATAATACTGTATATCCAAAAATGTGTGGAAATAGAACAAAACTAATTAACAAGTAACTTTAAGAATCGAAATGAAGGGCGTTATTTGAAAAAAGTAATCACAACTCCATAAAACGGAAACGTTCGTGCATTAATGATCATTTGACACACACTTTATCTTCACGGTTCGACATCTTCTAAAATAAAAGAAATGACTTCTCCATGACAATACGTTTGAATGAAAGAAATATGCATTAAATAGAAACTCATTTATTTTAATGTCTTCGAAGGAACGGAAGCTCTTCCGAAAATTACGAAAATGTTACGGTATAAGTTATTGCTATTACTTTTCTGAAAATAGGAAACATTTAATAGATTTTCCTTCCATCTACGCTAACGTAAGTTTCAAGTTTCTCTTAAAATACTAATAAAAAATGTTATAGTATAAGTTATTGTTATTATTTTCTTGAAGATCAGAAACTTTTTGTAAATTTTCCTTCCATCGATATAAGCGCAAGTTTCAAGCTTTTCTTAAAATAAAATTGCAAAAATGTTACGATTCATCGTTTATGAAGATCGGAAACTTTTTGTAGATTTTTCGTCAAGAGATGGGAACGAAAGTTTAAAATTTCTTTCATAATACCACTAACGCAGAGTTACACCAAATTCTGAAAGACTCTTATCTTTTGTGGAACAAAAAAGTAAATAGACAATAGAATTTTATAAATCATAAAGAGACATTTGAAAACTGCATCATTTTTAGCCCCTCAGTAAATTCTAAATGCATGACATCTATGTTTCACTGATTAGTAAATGTTGAATATTCTAATTCAAATAAAATTAAAATTTGAAATGAGTGTATATTTTTTATCTACATATTTAATCTATAGAAATTTGAATTTTAATCCACCAACTAAAGTAATAAAAAGAGTTGTGCATGTTTGAAATTGACGTTTTCCTTACTGTTTTTCGTTACATAATTTAGAATATAAAAATAATTCAATTCTTCTGACTTTTCTAGTACATTAAATAAACAATAAAATATTGCTTATCTAAGTTTTGAATAAGTTTCTGTTTCTTTAATGAANAATTAGTTTAAGTTCTGTATTATTACTTCCTATTATTGTTTATATATATATATATATATATATATATATATAATAAGAACATTTAAAAAAACAGTATATTTTTATTCTCAAACTTATTCAATGCACAATATCAAGTCATTCTTTGTTTTACAAAAAAATAGAGATAAATTCTTAGCTTTACTAAAATCGAAACCTAAAACCTACATTATATGTAAATAATCAGTCAAGAGTTATTAGATAATTCATATTTGATTCGTTTTATCTTCCTAAAAGCATCTAATAAATTATATGTTACCGTGAATAACCGAAATCAGGCGAAAGTCGACTTTCATTTGTGAATGTCAACAATCACATAGTCGCTTTGGTGAATGTTCAAAATATTTGCTATATCCGATTTGATATTAATTTATTGTTTGATATTATTATATTTATTCGATATTTTAATATCTTCTGAGGATAGATTAGGAGAATCATCATTGGGAAGGGGCACGTGACCTGAAAAATCATTGATGTAGGGCATATCGGGCAAATGTATACCAGACAGTGGTACTGAACCTTAAAAAACATCAGTGTAGGGTTTACTGGGTAAGTGTATACCGGGCAATGGCTTTTAACTAGACCTAGTATAGATTTTGAACATTTACCAAAGCTACTATGCGATTGTCAACATTCACCGAAGGAAATCAACAACCACCAATTTCGGTCATTCACAGTAGCAAATATGCTCTAATCAATGAATTTTACTTAAAGATTGCTAAAAGAAAGCATAATTCGATAAAGATTTAATTTAATCAGAATTTCAGATGTGCT